TTAAAAAGCAGAGACATTACTTTGCCAACAAAGGTCCATCTAGTCAAGGCTATGGTTTTTCCAGTGGTCATGTATGGATGTGAGAGTTGGACTATAAAGAAAGCTGAGCGCCAAGGAATTGATGCTTTTGAACTGTGGTGTTGGAGAACACTCTTGAGAGTCCCTTGGACTGCAAGGAGATCCAACCAGTCCATCCTAAAGGAGATCAGTCCTGGGTGTTCATTAGAAGGACTGATGCTGAAGCGGAAACTCCAATACTTTGACCACCTCATGTGAAGGGTTGACTCATTGGAAAAGACCCTGATGCTGGGAGAGATTGGGGGCAGGAGGAGAAGGGGACAAGAGAGGATGAGATGGCTGGATGGCATCACCAACTTGATGGATATGAGTTTGAGTAAACTCCGGGAGTTGGTGATGGACAGGGAGGCCTGGAGTGCTGCAATTCGCGGGGTCGCAAAGACTCAGACACGACTGAGTGACTGAACTGAATTGATTCCTAGAATGTCAGCATTCACTCTTGCCATCTCCTGTTTGACCACTTCCAATTTGCCTTGATTCATGGACTTAACATTCCAGGTTCCTATGCAATATTGCTCTTTATAGCATCGGAGCCTGCTTCTATCACCAATCATATCCACAACTGGGTGCTGTTTTTGCTTTTTCTCCATCCCTTCATTCTTTCTGAAGTTATTTCTCCAATGATCTCCAGTAGCATATTGGGCACCTACTGACCTGAGGAGTTCATCTTTCAGTGTCCTATCTTTTTGCCTTTTCATACTGTTCATGGGGTTTTCAAGGCAAGAATATTGAAGTGGTTTCCATTCCCTTCTCCAGTGGACCACATTTAGTCAGACCTCTCCACCATGACCCATCCATTTTGGGTGGCCCTACACGGCATGGCTTAGTTTTATTGAATTAGACAAGGCTGTGGTCCGTGTGATCAGATTGGCTAGTTGTCTGTGATTGTGGTTTCAGTCTGTCTTCCCTCTGATGCCCTCTCTCAGTGCCTACCTTCTCACTTGGGTTTCTTTTACCTCTCTTCACAGCTGCTCCAGCAAAGCATAGCCGCTGCTCCTGACCTTGGACGTTGGGTAGCTCCTCTGGACAGATCCTGAGCTGCACAGCTGCCGCTCCTGCACCACATATTTTAACATCTAGTATTTAACAATACTTGATATTTATCAACAATATTTTGAATTTATGAGGTACAAACAGAATAGGAAGGAAAAAGGAGAAGGTGAAGGAGAAGGGGAGTCCTAGAGTACAAGTCAGACTTCACAGACCACAGGACAACTTGCTCTGTCTTGTGCCAGACTAACCTGTAAAATGAGATACAGTAACTTCCCCATGCGTCTGTTATAAGTAATATTTATTTATTTGTTTTGGCTGTGCTGGGCCTTTGCTGCAACTTGTGAGACCATTAGTTGCAGCCTGTGGGATCTAGTTTCCTGAAACGGGATCGAACCAGGGCCCCCTGCATTGGGAACATGAAGTCTTAGCCACTGGACAGCAAGGCAAGTCTCTGTTGTGAGTTTTAAATGACTTAATTATGTAAAATGCTTATAACAGGACCTGGCACATGGTAAATTACCAATAAACATTAGCTGTTACCCGGCACTCCTCCCTCTTCTCCACCTCCTTCTCTCAATACACTCAAGGAAATTTCCTGATCTTCCCCCTAGAAATTTTGTCCTCCTGCTGGTAATCTACTGTGTCTGTGGACCCTTCTACATATTACAGGGTATACTGATGGTGTTTTACAGTATCTACATTACAGACATTTGAAAATTTTAAATAAACTTGATACTGAAATTAGCTTCACTTGACAATGATTGCATCTCAGATATTCCTCTTAGGCCAAATATTGTCACTGAGCAAAGAGAACAGTGAAGCAACATGGCCACAGTCAATCTGGTGACTGAAAAGGTTTAGGTTCTTACTCTCATTCATTCAACAAATATTTATTAAATGGTAGGAAACCAGAAAGGAACTAGATATTGATCTTGTCTTAATATAAGCTTCCATCAGAGGGTGGTAAAAAATCAGACAGAGATTGTCAGTATGGGTAGAAAATGATGTAGGCCACAGAGAAGCACAGCTAGAGTGCTGTGGACCTCTAGTGTCAGGAGAGACTGGTTTCTGTTGGGCACTCAAGAAAAGAGAGTTCCATTCACACAGATGCATGTCACCAATGCCTGTCATGGGTAGTGACTCAACTCATCTTAAAACAGTCACCTTAAGCATAAGGATCGGATTTTTGCCTAGGGGGTTTTGCTCTCTAGAATTGTAATGCAGGCTAAGTATGTCATGCCATATAACTTTACACTAGCCATCCCGCCAGCACCACCACAACTCTCCCAGACACTGCAGCAGTGCATCCAGACCTGGATCTTGAATGTTCCCATTGTATGCCCCCTGTTCTTCAGGGTCCATGAGTGGCAGTAGGCCAGTCCTCAAAGGAGAGCTCACCAACAGCATGGCCATCATAAATTTGACACAAGGGACCTCTGAAGTCATGAATGTGTTCTGCCTGTGTTTAAAACTGTGGCCCTTGGCATTGTGTATACTCAGTCAATGGTAATAACCAGTCAGTGGGTTTAACCAGCTCAATTAAAACAAAACCTCAATTATTGACTAGGCAACTACAAAGGTTAATGAAGCTTCAGTTTGGACAACACATTGAAACTTCTATGAATGGCATCAGCTAGAATTGTGCTGAGTGTAATCTGTTCACCAAAACTTGGAGGGCCTGACTAAGAAAGCCTCAGGGCTTTAACAGCTTGACTTATCAAGCAAAAGAACAAACATTTTTAGATAAGACATATTGCAAAGAAATAATGAAATTTGTTTCAGGTTTTAAGCATGCCAATTGCGAAGATGTATATATGTGGTTTTGCAGCTGTCTTTCCAAGTTGCATCTTTGTCAATACAATATCATCTTACATTGGTAAATGATTGTGTGATTTGGGTAACACTTTAGTCTCTTACAAGATGATATTCTGGAAAGGTCAACACTGTGCCAACCCACTCACAACCTCTTCTGAGGGGATACACCCTGCCCACACTTCCTGCCAAAGGGGCAGGCCCAGGAAGCCATGTTTAATACTCAGAGCCCTACCTCCTCTGTCCACAAATGATTGGCTTTAGCCCAGGCACCAGTACACAATCCATAGACTGGTCAGGGAGTTCTAGTTTGCCCTCGAAGATGGACTGGACCAATCAGATTCTCTCTTAGGGCCCTGAGCATGAAGAAAAATAGCCATCATTTAGTGCTACGACCAGATGAAATGGACATATAGCATGTCACTTAATCATAGAAATCAAAGATCCATGAACTCCTGCTGCTGAAGGCCTAGAAGACTTCTTGAATCTAGAGTCACCTTTGAGCTCCGGGCTCTTTGAGGCCAACATTTAATACGGTTCCTGGTTCTTGGATTTCCACATTCCTTCATCATTTAAAAATAAAGTGACATAATGCAATATGCTAAAGCCCTTCATCTTGAGCTGGCTTAAATGGCTATTTGTCTTTGCAAGTAAAACAGCCAAACCAAAACCAATGGGAAATTAAAACTGGGTCCCAGATGAATGTTCAGGCCACATGGCCTTCTAGAGAAGTCTCAAGAAGAAAGGCAAACTGACAATGTCTTAGCCATTACTGGGAAGGCAATAGAAACCAAAAAAAGAAAAAAGAGAACTGAAAGCCTTTAAAGACGATTTGGAAAGTTTGTGTGTGTGTGCCGCCCTAATCGGTATGCAGTGACTTGTAGAACCAGCACCATGAACGGAGAAGACATAGTCTTACTGAGTTCTCTCTCATGAGTGAAACCAACCAAACTTAAAATAGACTATGAATGACTGCTGATTATGAGATATGCTAAATGCACAGGAATCACAAATGATTGAAGACAATTCACAAGAAAAACAGGATAATAATGTTTGACGCAGCCTCAAAACCAGGTGCTTGGTTTAGGGTGTGTCTATATGGCCCTGGTTTTTGTTTCCACTCAACTTTGGAAACTAAATGACACTGCTCTCTATTTTAAAATGGAAATGTATTGGTTCATATAGACTGTGTCTAAATAAAATGCAGTTTCCACATAGCTCCTCGGTGGTAGCATTTCTTGTCCAAAGATATTTCATGGTTTGGGGTTCAATATAATTTAGCCACTGTCTAAACATTCCAGTTGATTTAGAAAGTGAATTATTATCATTTTTTATCTATGAAGACATTCCACTAGTTAAAAAAATAAACCACTTGTGAACTGAAATTTTCACTACTTGAATGTGCTTTTCTATACCTGTATTAAATAAATTTTGTCTTCTTTCCTGGGGGAAGCAATGTGGGGAAGTAGCTAACTGATGGACTTTGGTAACAGATCAGCCTGAGTTCAAATCCAGGTTCAGTAATTTTTTTTTTTCCAAGCCTGGGAACCTGGGCAAAGTAAGCCCGCAAGTTCCTTAATTGGCAAAAAAACAAGAAGAAAAAAAAAAGAAAAAACTTACAGAATGTACAAATTAAATGAATTAAGGTAGATAAAGTGCTTAAAACCATGCCTGGTAGTTTATTTTCTATAAATAATCTAAAAATGTTTACTACTATTACGTGTACTACTTTTATCAAACTCACAAAATAAGTCATTGAGTGCATGCAAATACTGTCCTAGGAAGGTACTTTTGTCATCTTGTTTAAAATTCACAATTGGAGGGTAGAAATTACCATCCCAGTTTTATAGAAGTAGAATAAACCTCACTAACTGATTTGCTAAAAGTTGCCTGGTAATATATGGTAGAGCCAGTATCTGTGAATTTACTCGTTAATCCATTCCACATGTTTTTTATTGAGGACTGGTTACACACTGGGGACTTCCTAGGTGGCGCTAGTGGTAAAGAACCTGCCTGCCAATGCAGGAGACAGAAGAGACCTGGGTTCGATTCCTAGGTTGGGAAGATCCCCTGGAGGTGGAAATAGCAACCCACTCCAGTATTCTTGCCTGGAGAATCCCATGGACAGAGGAACCTGGCTGGGCTACAGTCCATAGCGTCACAAAGAGTCAGGACATGACTGAAGCAAACCCCTTGCATGGGTGCTGAAATATAGACAGGCATCAAGCAGACATAAATCCTTGCCTTCATGGAGCTAACTTTCAGTTAGAGGAGACAAATCAAAAATGAGAAGGGGAGAGGAAGCAGGACTGTGTGTTGCAGGGTGGATGCAGTTCAGAATGTAGTTGTGGCTATAACAGATAACTAGGGAAGGTCTCACTGAAGAGAGGATGTTTGAGGAAAGGTCTGAGAGAAGAAAGGAAGCCATGGAGTAGCTAAAGGGGAAGCTTCTGGGCAGGATAAAGAGCAGGTGCAAAGGCTCTGAGGCAGGAGTGTGCCTGGTATGTTCCAGGAACAGCAAAAGGTGACTGAAAGAAGGAAAAGAAGGGAAACAATAGGCAATGTGACTCAGTGGTAAAGAATCTGCCTGCCAATGCAGGAGATGCAGGGGACACGGGTTTGATCCCTAGGTTAGGAAGATCCCCTGGAGAAGGGAAAAGCAATCCACTCCAGTATTCTCACCTGGAAAATCCCATGGACAGAGGAGCCTGGCAGGCTACAGTCCAGGGGCCCACAGAGATGGACATCACTGAGAGTGAAAGCAAAGATAGAAGATGAGGTAGAAGAGGGGAGGGCTTGGCTGATACTGATATTTGCTTAAGAGACCCTCTCATCTCAACCATGTTTATGTTAACTAGGGCTTTGCCTCCACAAAGGCAGCACATTTTAAGAGGCCACTGATGGAAGAGTCCCCCCTTTGGAAAGGACATCTCCATCCTGTAGAGAGGAAAACCCAGGCCTTGTGTTGGTAGTCAGGTAGTTTGTCAGAACTGAAACTACATAACCAGCATGCCCCCGCCCCTTCCCCCCACTGGCTGGAAGCAGCCATGACGACGGTGCTGAGCCCTTGCAGAGGTGTGCTGTGGTCTCTCTGAGCTCGTCACAGCACCTTTCTATGCAAGTTTCAATTCAAGGTCATTTTTGGTTCCTTTTCAGTAGCAGACTCAGAACCAGATCTATTCATGTATAGGAACAGTGCAAACACATTAATAGCCAGACCCCAGTGGGAGTTTTATTTTCCATTTCCTCCTCCCCCATATTTATTTGTTTCTTCATCTCCTCTGTGCAGTAAAGGTGATCTTGCATGACATTTTCAGATGAAACTTAAAAAGGTAGGGGGAGAATGGGAGGATGTTACTCTGTGCTGGAACTACCTCTTCCCCAAACCCTTTCAGGCTCTGGAGATGAGCTGCCTGGGTTCAAATCTATATCACCACTCTGCAAGCTTAGCTAAAATATTCAACCTCAAAGAACCTTAGTTTCCCTATATTTAAATTGTGGATGATGATGATAGCTGCTTAGTTAGGCTCATAGTAGAAATTAAATAAAATCATTTAATGCTATTTTAGAATTTAGTTAAAATAGAAGGCTTGCCTCCCATTCCTGGAATGTTTTTCATTGCAATGAGAAGGATGTTTCAAGACACTAAGAGGCAGGTGTCCAAATGGATATGGCTGTCTCTGTATTTTCACTCAAAGCGTGATTCACATATTGCCACATGCTTCCATCTCTCTGATGAAAGTTCTATTCTTCCCCAACTGGGTGGTTCCAGCCCCCTTAAGCCGATAAGCCTCGTGAGTTCATAGAAGCAGAGAGAGGTAGGCATAGCCCTCTCTGTGGTCTAGGTGAGTAACTGGTCCACTGCCTCCAATGGGCAAGGTGGTCTAACTGTACTTATTACCCACCCTGGGGCCAACTCTGAGCTTTTCTTACCTCATTCATGCCACTAAGGGAAATTTTTGCAAATTCTCCCATAGAAAATTAAACAACACACGAGTCCTTCAAGGGGAAGCAAGAAGGTTGTGGCAAGAGAATCTTCAGGGATAAAGTTCTTCCTCCTACAGTACAATTTATCTTTACACGAGTCCTTCAAGGGGAAGCAAGAAGGTTTTGGCAAGAGAATCTTCAGGGATAAAGTTCTTCCTCCTACAGTACAATTTATCTTTTGGGAAAAAGGCACACAGAAGTTGGTGGATATTATTTAATGGTCACAGCTTATTAGCCCTACGTGTTCCTACAGAAAGAAAAAAATAACTACCTAGTTATGTCAGAAAATCTTCCACGCCTATGTTATAGTAAACAGTCAATATTACTACTGGCATTTAGTATAAATCAGAGGGTAAATGACCTGTTAGCTACAATGCTTTATAGGAATGGCCAAAGTAATCATCTTAGGATCACTATAATTGAAAAAAAGGTGTCCTGGACTGCTTCTGTAGCTCAATGATTTAAACAAAGAGAATTTTCTTATTGGCTTAGATGACCATTTTTGAATCAATTTAATATGGTTCCTGACTAAGCTTCAATAGACAGAGTCCCTTTAGAGAACAATTTTAAGTTGCTTGGAACTATCATCCCACTGGCTCAGTATCAAATTATGAAATGATATTGACACAAATCCCTGAATGCAATTAATAAAAAGCCATAGGAAAGATTTCACACAAGTAAGAAGCTTGGAGCTACATGGATAATCACCCCTAAGTTATCTCAGTTTTGAATTCAGATTGAGATGTGCCAGAATTTTTTGAAGAATACACCACAGACAAAAAGAGCCAGTTTAAAGATAGAAACCCCCAAGTTCTACTCTTCATTCTATCCCCAAAGATGTGTCCACCAAAAGATGAACCTGGATGAATCAGTCTCTCTGACTTATGACTATACTACAAAGCTACAGTCATCAAAACAGTATGATACTGGCACAAAAATAGAAATTAGATCAATGGAACAGGATAGAAAACCCAGAAATAAGCCCATGCACCTATGGTCAATTAATCTATGACAAAGGAGGAAACACTACACCATGTTGGAAAGACAGTCTCTTCAACAAGTGATGCTTGGAAAACTGGAAAGTCTAATATCATCATTAGATCATTCCTTAACTCCACACATAAAAATACATTCAAAATGGATTAAAGACCTAAATGTGAGACCAGACACTGTAACACTTTTAGAGGAAAACATAGGCAAAACACTCCCTGCCATAAATCACAGCAATATCTTTCTTGATCCATCTCCCAGAATAAAGGGCATAAAAACAAAAACAAACAAATGGGACCAACTTAAACTCAAAAGCTTGCACAGCAAAGGAAACAAT